CTGGACCATACGGGCTGCTGAGAGTAGACCAGCCCCAGGGAGAGTGGATGAGAACACTCTCTCAGCTCCCCTGCCTGCCAGGGAGGACTCAGCGTCAGGCCGTGGTTCCCCGGGTGACCTGGCCCAAGAACAGGCGTCCCCTCCACGAAGAAGGGCAGGGGCAGACTGAACGAGGGCCCTTGTGGGCGCCACCTTCTGAGACTCACCAGATGCCGGATGTGTGAACGGCTGGCTGCTCCCTGACATCACTTGCTAGTGGGGAGGGGCCCCGATGTTCCGTCCACTCTGGCTCCTGCTGAGGCTGCGGGTGACAGTGTGCCAGCAGTGTGGGCCGACAGGGACGGATATGCCCCCAGACCCCTCACACTGGATGTCTCAGGTCAGCTTCCCGAGATCCTCGAGTGAGTGGGTTATTGCAGCAGGGCTCCCAGGAGAGACACTTGTAAGAAAGTTGCTGTGGTCCGAATGTTTGTGTCACCCCCCCCCCAGATTCATATGTTAACATCTTAACCCCCAAAGGTGATGGTATTTCGGAAGGCTTTTAGGTCATGAATGGGATTAGTGCCCTTATAAACGAGGCCCCCTTGTCCCTTCCACCATGTGAAGACACAGCGGCAAGTCTGCATCCGAGAAGAGGGCCCCCACCCGCCCATGCTGCCACCCTGCGCTCGGACTTCCGGACTCCAGACTGTGAGAAATAAGCTTCTGTTTCTCATGGGCTACTGTTTTTTATAGTCTGTGGTATTTTTGTTGGACAAAAATGGCAAAGGGGCAAATCTCTGCAGAAGAGGGCAGCTGTGGGCTGTTCATGGGCCCCTCACAGCCCCCGGGGGCCGCCAGGCCCGACGCACGGAGCTGCGCAGGTCAGCGTCACACACTGTCCACTTGTGGGATCTGCTTACAGGGCCTCCCAAGAACTGCTTGGTCCTCGGATGTGTTCTGCTTCTCCTTGAAGCGGCAGCAGCTGGCCCAGCACTGACCGAGCAGGAGCAGCCCCGCTGGCAAGCTCTGTGTCCCCAGAAGGGCTGACTTTTACAGCAGGCAGCTCACATCTTGAAAGTCAGCATTGGCAGCAAGTAACTGAAGTAGTGACATGGGCAAACCTCCCACCGAGAACCAGCCTCTTTTCACAGGCCTTCCGGGACCGCACAGCTTGGAAACAGCAGGATGTCGGCTGCCCAGAGATGCACAAAGCCGAGGAGCAGCAGCCCAGGTGTGCCCCACACTCGGGGTGGAGGTCCCTGCGGCGCCTTCTGCCAGCCACCACGCTCCACCAGCAACCCGTCATCCAAATCTGGTTCGGTCCTTTTCCTCCAGGCTTGGTGCCCATCCAAACACATTCTCAGCAGGACCCTGCAGCTCCTTCCATGAGAAGAACATAACATTTTCTCTTGGCCTCAGAAAATACAAATAACTCACTTACTGCATTTGCACAGGCCGAAGAGCAACCCTCGCCTTGGCCGGCCTGTCTTCTAGCACCTTCTTGGGCGACCTGGGAAGGGTGTGCCTGTGTGGGGGGGCTGGGGGGAGACTCAGATAAGGGAAAACCCATTGTGGTGTTCAGCAAGAGCTTTGAGACTGAGGTCAGTGGGGGCATAGCTCTTTTTCCAACTGGAAAAGTGGACATCTTCAGCTGCCATGTTCTCTTTAGCTGCAGGATGTCATCAGATGGACAGTAGATATGTTCTTGGAGCCAGAGTAGATGCTGCTTGGGAGCTAGAAACTGAGACCATGGGGACAGGCTGCCTGGGAGCTGGGATGGTACCAAAGTGGTTTTTGCTGAACTCAGGAAATCAGAGGATGAGGATGCTCTTTGTTTAGAACAAAATCCTCACAAAGAAATTAGACAAAGGAGCCATATGTTCATTCTCTCATTCAGTAGATTCATCTTCGTCTCTAACGACAGACTGAAAATGAGTCATCCTCACCCAGTCGACTTCTCCCACTCCCCTACATTATGGATGGAGGACTCAGGGATGTGAAGTCCTGAGAAGTTTCAGCCTCTGCCCAGCCCCACCCACCCACCCCCAGCCTGTCCGTATGACACCTATCTCAACCAGTCTCTACCCTCTCACCTTCACAGGTGAGTGTAAGGGAGGCACAGTCTGATACTGGCAGAAGCAGGGGGTGAGAGGTGGGGTGTCACCCTGCCTCACCGTCACTCCCCCTTCCCTCTGTTGAGTGGAATCCACGAGATTTCTCATCAACTTTATCTGTGGCTGCCATGTTTATGTGTTATTTCACTGCTGTTAAAATACCACACATGAGGTGGGGGAGGGTATAGCTCAGTGGTAGAGTGTGTGCTTAGCATGCTCAAGGTCCTGGGTTCAATCCCCAGTAACTCCATTAAAATAAAAATAAATAAACCTAATTCCCCCCCAAAAATTTAAAAAAAAAACCAAAC